ACTTAATGCATACGGTTTTACAAATGCAACTACTAGTCTTATCTCAAGCTAAGTAAGCAATCGAAAACAGTGTGTAAAACTCGGGGAAGTTTGTTGCAATTTTTTAGAATTGTACAAAGGTGTTCCACAGGGTTCAATACTTGGTCCTGTTATTTTTAATATTTTTATCAATGATATTTTTCATTTTGTGTCAGATTCTGATCTCTACAACTATGCCGATGACAACATTCTCTCAAACTCAAGTGACGATATTACATCACTAAAAAATACTTTAGAATCAAATTGTTCGAACTTAGTTAAGTGGTTTGGAGATAATCAAATGCAAGCAAATCCCGATAAATTTCAAGATTTCAAGCTATATGTCGCGGAAAGAAAACTAAACAGGAAAACATTTGTTTTGAAATTGATGGCACATGTAATATGATTCATCCGGAAAACGAAATAAAATTACTTGGTGTTACTATAGATTTTGAGCTTAAGTTTAGCTCTCATATTTCAAACATTTGTAAAAAAGCTTCACAACAATTAAATGTACTTAAATGAATAGGGGTACACCTGACCAAATTAGGAAAACTAACCATTTAATCATACATTTATCATGTCAAACTTCAACTACTGTCCATTAGTTTGGCATATTTGTGGTACACAAGAAACAAGAAAAATGAAAAAAAAAACAGGAAAGAGCACTGCGGTTTGTTTATGATAACTACAAAAATCATATAGTTATCTTCTGGACAACTCAAAATTACCATGCCTCAAACTCAGGCGTATTAGAACAGTGGCCATAGGTGTATTTATGTATATAAAGGAATTTATGTGATCTAAATACGTAATAAATTGCATATTTTTATTAATTACAAATTTGTTTGAATTCATGGGTCCCGAAGGGTTTTCCGGGTTTTATACTTAAGCGTCCTCTAGTAACGGCTATTAGCCTTATCCTTATCAGAATAACATTTCGGCTCCAAAATGTGGTTTACAAATTTTACTTAGGTGTGAGTATTTATATTGTGTCACTCATGCAGAGTAGGGTTTTGATTCAAAGATATTGATTTATTGTTCGTTTGCAGATTTGTGTAGAACAGTGAAATATCAATTTCTATCTGAATATCTCAGCGAGAAGGTTCTGTATAGAGGATATTCGGGTTGCATTACATTGATATGGTAGGCTCGCAGAAGTTGATAAAATTAAACCCGATTTAGTATGTATATACAATAAGGTTCTAATGATTTGTGTAGTCTAGATATTAAGTTATACGACTGGGTTGAGAATGTTTTACTCGCTGAGAAAAATTCGGGGTCATTTGGTGCACAGTGTAATGTCAACATACCAAATTCTTCATAGTAAACCACCAAGTAAACCTGACAGGTTCTTAATAGAACATGAACCCTGCAATGTTAAGGTGTTGTTGGTATTAACAGGCTTTTTAACGCTAAATCAGGCAGAGAATTTGGTTATCATGGTAAGGATGTAAGATTTTTTTTTCTTTCATTACTAGCATTTGGTCATAAGAAAATGAGAATAAAGTAAACTGTTAAAATGGTGTGCACCAAAAATGAGCACATGGTTACACAAACTATTAGAATAGTAACAGGATGTCGGTTGTTTCAGCACTTTAAAGCTTGTAAGCAGATTGTATAACTTCAATACTTATATTTATAACAATTTAGTGTAATGGTCAAGTTTGGGTAGGTTACAAGTGCATATAATGTTTTTGGTTTCATTAAAGAACTAAGGCCTGTGGATTGTCAGTATACGATAAGAATTTAGCACTGCAAATGCATGTAGCTAGAGTAAATTGCCTTTGTTGTTCATCATGTAGCTATTACAGTCAGTCGCTTATTTTGATTTCATTATTTGCCATTGGGTTGGTTGCATAATTACACAGATAAAGCATATTAAGGTATTCATATTGTATATTTATGCTTTGCTTGGTTTTTTTTTTGGAAATTTGGAAATGCCAATAGTGATTTATTAGCCACATCACGATCATAATAATAATAATAATAATAAAAAAAAAAAAAAAAAAAAAAGGTTGGTTAATTAATTCTGGAAATCCTCTATGGTTTTATATGCTTGTATACAGTGTATATATATCCTGTATGGTTTGGTTACCAAGGTAGTCCATATATAGTTGAACAATTTTTGCTATATATATCCTATATGGTTGGATATGCTTGTGCACAGTATGTATATGTATAAATATTTCTGTATGGTTTTGTAACCAATCTGTCCTATATGGTTGGACAATTAATTTTAGCTATCCTATATGGTTGGATATGCTTGTATACAGTGTATATATATTGAATGGCTTGGTTACCATATTGTCCTATATGGTTGGACGCAGTATATTTATATCCTGTATGGTTGTAATTAATTTGACATATCCTGTATTGTTGGATATGCGTGTATACAGTATATATATATCCTGTATGGTTTGGTAACCAAGATGTCCTATATGGTTGGACACATTATTTTTAGCTATCCTATATGGTTGGATATGCTTGTACAGCAATATATATCCTGTATGGTTTGGTAACCAACTTGTCCTATATGGTTGGACAATTAATTTTAGCTATCCTATATGGTTGGATATGCTTGCATACAGTGTATATATATTGAATGGTTTGGTTACCATATTGTCCTATATGGTTGACGCAGTATATTTATATCCTGTATGGTTGTAATTAATTTGACATATCCTGTATGGTTGGATATGCGTGTATACAGTATATATATATCCTGTATGGTTTGGTAACCAAGATGTCCTATATGGTTGGACAATTATTTTTAGCTATCCTATATTGTTGGATATGCTTGTATATGGTAAATATATATACATATACATATCTGGTACAGTTTGGTAACCTGTTTGTCCTGTATAGTTGGACAGTTAATTTGAGATATCCTATATGGTTGAATATGCTCATATAAGGGTATTTATATGTTAATCGTGTGATTGGGTAACCAAGATTTGTTTTACATGGTTGGACAATTTATTTGGCATAACCTATATGGATGAATAGGTTTAGATACAGAATTTTTATATCCTTTATGCTTTGGTAACTGAGTTTATCCTGTATGGTTGGATAATTTATTTGACATATCCTGTATGTTTGGATATGCTTGTATAGAGAATGTATGTATATATAATTATATATCAAGGATTAATCCTGTATGGTTGGACAATTATTTGACATATCCTGTAGGGTTGGTTATGTTAATATTTATTTAATATTTATTGATCATGAATGGTTGGATAAAGAAGTTGTTCAGTATGGTTGAACACTTTATTTGACATATGTAGTATGATTATAAATATGCTTACAAATATCTTTATCGTGTATTGTAAGATAACCAGATTTGTCCTGTATGGTTTGACACTCTGCTTGACATGTCCTGCTTGGTTGGACATGCTTATGCTCTACATATCCTCAGGTGTATGTTTGCCTTATTTGGATAACCAGGTTTGTCTTGTGGTAGTTAGACAATTTGTTTGACATATCCCTTATGGTTGGATATGCTTATAACTATATCTTATAGGTTGGGATAGCCTAGTTTTGTCATGTATGTTTAGGCAATTCATTTGACATATCCTGTATGGTTTGATATACATAGCTAGCTTAGCCCTGTCAAGTTAGGCAGATATATTGCTTGTGTACAAGTACAATAATTTGCAGACCTATATATATATATATATACACAATGATAATAACTATATTGAATGAATCGAGAGCTTGTAGCATATATTTTGGTTAAAGCTTCTAATCATTAACCAACATTGCATTTTCAATTGTAAATTTCATTACGGTGGACTTGTTTATGATTTAACACAAAGAAATTGGCACAGTTTATTAAAAAAAAGAAAAACAAAAAAAAAAAAAACAAAAAAAAAAAAAACAAACAAACAAACAAACAAAAACCTGGGACTAAAACTGGTACCATTTAATATTTCTTCTTCAGGGATCAATTTTTATTTTAGCACTGATTCCATAAATGCTTTAACAAAAGACTTAGGAAGAGCAATATATTGACCTTGGAGCACCACCTTTTGTCAGTCTTGTGCCTACCACCAAAATAATGGGTACACATTGATTTTAACTCTAACATTTCAGTAGCACCCAGAAATACAGATCAAACAATCAATACTATATTTCAGTGGAAAACAGCAATCTATGCATTTGATTTCTGTCTATACTCGAAAATTCCCAAATGAAACACAGTTTTGTGTAAATCATGCAGAGACAAGTCATGATTTGGCATCATCTAGAAGTAAACCTTGACAAACTGTTGATAAACAAATTAGGATATATAGACAAGTTTAAGGGTATGTCCTCGGAAATGGTTAGTGTGTAATTTGTGCTTCAGGCATTTAAACACAGGGATATGAGGGGGAAACACAGGTCTTTCCATCTCCCCCTTCTGATCAAGGTTTAGACTAAGGCTTTCAAAAAAAAAAAGAGAGAGACAGAATTTGACGCTTAAATGCTTGCATGGAAAGTCTTAACATGTTCTTAAGCTTTGTATCATAACAATTGAGAATCATTTATTTTTCTTCATCAGTAAACAGAACTCCACAGCCCTTGATATATCCCACTAAACATGAGGCTTGCTCTTTCTAACCATTCTAAGGTTGATTATCCAAGTAGTCGAACGGGTTTTCTAAATCCACCTAGCAAATGAAATGTTTCAGTTTTAAACATAATATATGTGTATCAACATGAAGTATATCGATTGAATCTTTGATGTTTCAATGTTAAATGTTTTGCATGTTCTTCAATTTCCAATTTAAGGGTACTGAATAACGGGAATCTGTTTTTTTTTTTTTTTGTCTTTGTCTGTACCAATGCATTTTTCAATTATCTTTTTTTTATTCATTGATATTTTTAGTTTTCGTATTATTGTGAAATTGCAAAATATTAAGAAACATTTAAGATAACAAAGAAACACTGTATACATTTTTTTAAAGAAAGATAAATTAGTGCTGATATTTACTACCATGTTTTTTTCATGCAAAAATACGTTTGCTACTTAGAACACTTCAGCCATACGTTTATCATTTACAATTACATGTACCCATAGTTGATTTGAATTAAAGATTAAGTTTATACTGACTGTTTCTCCAATCTGCAATGCCTATAGAACTTTACCTCACATATTCCTTCAAAATCCTCCGGAACTGGCTCGTACACAAAGTCGTCTGCGAATCGAGAACATTTCAAGGACGCGGCCACTTGTCCTGTTACTATAACGGCTTCTCCTTTCTAGAAAAATCAATTATCCCTCCAAAAATTAAACTTAATGGAAAAATATTAAAATCATTTTGTCTTTATTTATCATTCTAAAGTTGAGAAAAATAACTTCTGTTGAACTGTTTACTGTTAAGATTAAACATAAAGTTTACTTACATTTTTATATTTTCATAGCATAAATACCAATGAATTTATATATAGAGTCATTTTGATTTCATTAAAAGATGAAATATGTGCTTCACTTATAACCAAAAGACAAACATTTTGTTTTCCTTTTTTATTAAAAAAAAAAAAACCACCTTCAAGGAAAAAGAGAGAGAAAAAGAAAGAGATCGAGAGAAAGAGAGATTATGTTTTCTCTTTGTAACCATGCACCTTAAATACATTTTTAACATCAAATTTGCATTTTTCCTCGTGGTCTGGGGTAGTCCCTTTGTAGGTGACTTGTGTTGGTACAACATTTGCATTCGAAGGAAGCTTGAACAGACGATAAGTCACTGAAGCGAAACGGGAGTCACCTGAAGAAAGCAAAATATAAGTGCTCTGTGTATTCGACTAAATATTAATTTTAAAAGGCTTTAACGCTTAATAAGAAGAAATAAAAATTGCATTGAACCACAAAGATAGAAAATAATATAATCATTTTTAAACATAAACATAATATCGCTTTCCAATTTGTTTTTATACATGGCTGTAGTTATGACTATATGAGGGACGTTCACTTATTAATGTCATCAGCTCGATGACATACAACATAGAAATCATATGTCATTAAGCTAGACTTTCTCTCATTATTGAATCTTTAATGAATTGTTAACAGTTTACAAAAACTTTGTACATAACACGAGTGTGCTCGATTTGCTAAACTCTGTAAGCAACCCTTAGTTAGGAATGACGATACTTGTGAGGGAGTTTTGCTTTCTACCATTTGTACTCGGAATAAAACTATTTTTCTGGATAGAAGTTTTAATATTTCTCATTAATACACCACAAGATTGCCACTTTTCCTAAGGATTAAGAATAAGGTTAAAATTTGTGAAAGTGCAAGGATGTGTCAATCAAACCCGCCAAAAAATTTAAAGTTTTAATACCTTTCAAATGAAATAAGATTTTTAATAAATTTTTGTGTGAAATGCTATTAAAATAAATATGTCGTAATATTATAGAAAAAACATTGACTTCAAATCTGTGTCCAAGTACCTTTAAGATACATAGCAAATTTGATAGAGATAATTTCGGGAGTAGTTTACTCTGTTTTTAAGGAACGTTTGACGGTAAAAAAGCTTAGTACTCAAAGGTCACCCTATATTTTGAAAAATTAGTGAAAAACGACAGCGTGTACGAATGTCTTAACAATTATTTTAAAATATGAGTAATTGTAGTTATCTACGTTTGTTTGATATTCAAACAGATAATGGAACTTGAATCTATTGCATAAAACCCTCAAAATAAAATTTACCATAAGATGTACTTGATAAAAACAGCAAAGGTCTGACAAGAGCAAAGAACTGCAGGAGCACAAAGACAGATTTATATGCAATTTTCTTAAATATTAGTGGTACATGTATTGTTATTCAAATTCGTATTCAGGGAGACAGTTTAATTTCTGGAGGAGTCTAGAAAGCAAATTTTTTTGCAAAAAATCGAAAGGTTTATGAGTGGGAAAACCCAGAATCAAGAATCCAATACATTAGATTTCTTCATGACAGTGTCCAAAACCGCATGCCCTGAGGAGTAAAGGGGTTTTCGGGATAAACAGAAAGTTAATGTTTTTTTTACATTCACAATATTCGCCAGATCTTTGACCTTTTGACTTGTTTCTATTTCCAAACTTGAAAAAAAACCTTTCAAAAGGAAGAAACAAGTCCAGGAAATCATTGGATCTGCCATTTTCCAGTATACTAAGGGTCATACCCAAAAATGAGTTCTAAAAACAATCAGAAATTGGATAAAAAATGTAACGGACATGTGTTTTAATTAAAAGAGATTAATAAGTTAAATCATGAAGACTAAATCATTGAAAAGCGTCTTTTTCTTCTTTCCGAGCACCGAGGACATTATCTATTGAACAGCCCTCGTAAGTAAAAATTAATTTCTTTAAAAACATTTTATAACTTGCTTTATAAAAAAAAAAAAAACTGCGTAAGTTGTATCCGCGTCGATGAATTGTGTGTTGATTTTAACAATTTATATTGAATATGAAAAATAACAAATTTGTTCCATTTTGTAGTTATCATTTTGAAATCGACAAGATTTGTTTATTTTAACAGAACGACAATTTACTTATATTTTAAGGGTAAAATTGTCATTAGAATTCTCAATTATCAAAAGATACCCTAACCTTGAACTTATGTACTAAAGCTAACAAAATGCTTCTATTTAATTTATTTTATTTGGCGATATAGGCCACGGCTGTTTTAAACAATAAGGGAGCCAGGCATCAACTATTGCCTTGATTGGCATCCCCAAAAATGAACAAGCATGAATGGTGAGCCCACAGATGCTCGCCTGCTTGAACAATAATTGCAAAATTCATTCAATTGGGCACCAAGTAAAATATTAAAATTATAGGTTAGGCACTACTTGTAAGCCAAATATCCGCCTGGGCAAAATGTAATGTGATTTCAGCCGGGCGTGACGTTTTGGGCAAGGTCTAGCTGCTGATATGGATTAAGACTTTATATAACCTGAAAAAGAAAACAAAACAAAACACGAGAAAGCAGCAGATAATTTTCGTTAACATAATATTACTTTTATCAAGGGGTGTGGTGGTGGTGGTGGTGGTGGGGGGGGGTTGAAGTTTTGCAGAAACTTATTTCTTTGCGCTCGACGTCACAGATTTTGGTGCTTGGGTTCGACTAATACATGTAACTTTAAAACCCCGAAAATAATATAACACTAAATACAAGAACAGGACCGGAAGGATAACCTCAAAAGCCGAAATATTAAAAACGAGCTTATTGGCACTTTGATAAAATAATGGATTTAGCCTTGAGTGGTTATATCACATTAATGCAGCTTTGAGCAAGCCTATATGTTAAAAAGATTGATGAGCTAGCGCTGTAGCCTTTGTTAATAATATTTTTTGAGCATTTGTTTATTTTGCTGAATCGATGTGTATGAAGTTAGAGTGGTTAAAATCGAGTTGACTTTAAGTCGACAATTAAGTGTCACTGTGCTTTGAGCAATTTGAAAAACACTTACATATTTGCATTATGTCAAATTCATATTATATAATTCATTATTTTTTGTTGTCATAATTCACAAGCATACACACACACATACACACACAAATCAACGTTTAATAGCTGTATGTAAGACATGATTAGCTTGATCTGAGAGGTGATTTAATAAATCACTCGTGCCTTGCACTTATGAAAAAATAAAAAAAAAATCTTTTTTTTTAATTGTGATGAAATTTCAAATACACTAATAAAAGATTGCATTTCCTCGTTTTATTATATGTGGCATTTTAATCATTCTTTTTTAGCCATGATATTGGCTCTTTGAACAATTTATAAAGTATTTTGTGAAATAATGGTCATATTTGACTAATTAAAACTTCAACAACATGTACTTGTCCAGAATGGTCAAAATTTATAGGATGAAAGGATTGAGGGTCATGGTAATCACTTAATGCAATATCAGGAAGATAGATTTTGAGTTGATTTGTTTAAAATTTACATTAATGTCAAAGTGAGAAATACGATATTCATAGATAGTCCATGTTTCAGTTGTCATGGGTGTTTTCTATGACGTGTCGAATGGGTTCTTAAGGCCTTGGTGTATATTCCGATATTATCAATCTATTAATTCAAGTTCTCTTGAGAAATATTCGTGGTTCTGGATCACAACTATCTCGAATCTACAACTCAAGATATCTGGCACAACCACAAAAATCGGTGTTCAGCGAAAACTGATAAAACCTCAGTATTGCACAAGGCCCAAAATCAACTGAAGATATTTTTAAAAAATAAGAAATCTCGGACGAAATAGTCCCCCATGTAGAAAAACACATGAAAAAATCATGACACTCCATAAATGTACAAAACCGAAAGAAATGAAGCAAAATTTATATCTTTTATAGACATCACAATTAGAAATACTTAAATGTAAAGAATGTTGCTCTTTACCACAAAGGTGAGATTTACCCAAGAAAACAGGCACACACACCCCTCTTCTTTGATAATCAAATTACTGGTCCTAATATGTTTCTCAGATAAATGCTACCTGAAAGTAGGAAAACAAGCAAAGTGTACTGCTGCAGTGACCTCCAACAAAGTATCTTTTACTAATTCACAAATTTCAATTTTCTATGAGTGCATTGTCGTGTATTCATTAAGTGTATTTATGTATATAAAGGAATTTATGTGATCTAAATACATAATAAATTGCATATTTTTATTAATTACCAATTTGTTTGAATTCATGGGTCCCGAGGGGTTTTCCGGGTTTATACTTAAGCGTCCTCTAGTAACGGCTATTAGCCTTATCCTTATCAGAATAACATTTCGGCTCCAAAATGTGGTTTACACCCTCTTTATTATTTAACATGCTGCAGAACAGAGCTGCAAATGTGCTTCAGGTTCACATGAACCGAATTGTTCATCAGTTTCAGTATTTAAGAGCACTAAGTTATTTTCGGTTTGTCAGTTTTAATGTGGTGAATACTATGTCATTGTAAAGCACCACGGAGGAATAGTGATATTTTAGTAGTGTTATGCAATTTCTAAAAACGGTTTCTTGTTTATTATGTATGATTGTTGAATTTACTTAACATTATTATGTAGACGGAAAATAGCTCTTCAGAGCTAATGTTCTTTGTTGATGTACCCGTCTTTAAATAAATATTATCTTATCTTATCTTATCTTATCAAAAATACATCGTAAAATCGACATCTCTCATGATCAATTTCCAAGTTCACTAAAATGACTTTGTATGCAAGTAAAATATGTTTTAAGTCTATTTTTGACTGTAGTCGTCATACAAATTTCTAGGATATTGTTTTAACACCGAATTTTCTACAGATATTTTTCTTTACCAGATTTTGACAAGGAGCACATGGTGGGTGTGACCGGTCGACGGGAGATGCTTTCTCTAATGGCACCTGGTCCTACCTCCGTTTTCAGATATCCCTGTCGGCTATGCTTATAATTTTTGTTGATTCAATAGACGTCTGAGAATGATCACCTTTCGTTATCTTTACATTTCGACTTTTGTTTTATAAACATTGTACACATTTACATATATGCATATTATTGTCTTCAAAGAATTCATACATGTTTAGTTCTTACCAGATAACTGTTGTGTGGCACTTTCGTTTTGTGATGTGTTCACCATCTTTGTAATGTCACAACCGATTCTTCGGACTCGACCAATCTTTATCAAGCGTGACGATAACTTTATTGTGCGTACTGCATATTGTAAAACTTAATGAATAAGTGTTTAACTGTGTAATTATCAAAACATTTAAATCATAAGAATGGAAACGAAGAAAAAGGTTGTTTAAAAAC